TCTGGGACGGGTAGAGACTTTCATGTATCTGGATGGCATCATCGATGAACAGGGAGCATACGATTTCGACGTGAAGTCAAGGATTGGTAAGGCAAGAACAGCATATGGAACTCAACACAAATGTCAGCCAACATCATAGTCGGAGTATTCAATGCAAACATGAAGATGTGGTGGCATTGGGCCCTAACCACACAATCATCAAAGCTGAACACGAGACATTTGGCGGAATAGATGTTCAACATTTAACGCGGAGGAAAACCCAACGATGGAGAGGGCGGGAACAGTGAATTGAATGAATTCAAACTGATCGGATGGCATGACTCGGCCTTGCAGGCGTGGTCCCTGTTGAATGTTACGTTATATCTTTCATTCATATTAAATATGTTGTCCTGTCTCTAGCCTCAACTTGTTCTCCATCATATATTGGTCATTGTTAAGATTCAATGAGTTGGTATGTGCGATGATGTGACTTCTTATAGGTTAAGCAGTTATATCATGACAAATCTACAGTTTTAGGATTAGGTGTATTATTAGAAAAGTACTAATATAATAGTAGACCATAATTCTACAAAGGTATGAGTATTTCTAAACAACTATCTTCGTAAGATGCTCAATGTTCGTTGGCCGGAGGCTATCAGCAACAGCGTACTGTGGAAGTGAACAAACCAGCTCTCATCTGAAGAAGAAATTAAGAAAAGACCCCGGAAGTGGGCAGGAAATACGTTGTGGAAATAATCAAACTGCATCACAAGGCAAGCCCTAACTTGGAATCTTGGGGGTTAAAGGAAAAGAGAAAGACCAAAGAACACACTGCTTCGGGAATCGGAAACAGACATCAAGAGAATGAATAACAATTGGGAAGGATTGTAGGGTCAGCAAAGTGTCACCGGCAAAATAACATTAGAAATTCTCAATCAAACACATTGTAGTACCAGTCAACTTTTATCAACAACCCACGGTACAGGACACAGAGACCACGGTCTCGCTAGTGGAATATGCCATAAGAGCAAAAAACCTACAGCGACCAGTTCGCATGGAACTCACCAACACACTGTGAGTAAGAATTTGTTTAGAAGCTAGAAGACAGATGCTGCTTTAAAGTGTCGGGTGATAAAACAAACCATCAAGTGCCTCTATACCAGTGTAAGAGGACTAAGGGGTAAACCAAGGGAAATCAGAAACATCTGCTCACAGTTGAACCTGAAGATCACAGTCCTCCCTGAAACACATCTATTGTTTCAATATGAACGGCACAAAGTACTTGATTTGAGGGATGTACCGCTCCACGAAATGGGACAGGGACGGAAAACCCTCAAACTAATAATGTTTATTGAGAAATGACCGGTTTCTAATTGAGGATATCTGTGTCCGCTTATCAGTGTGAAGTAGCTATCATGATACATTCGTACTCGTGGAATGCCCTTTCTGCCTAATCGATCGTAGCTCCACCCAATGGATAGCTCTGAGAAGACACTTTCAATGGCCTTCTAATGTCCGACTCTAGGTGGGTCGTACGAATGACTGTTATCGAATTATACGTCGCAAGTCCTCGTATATGGTCATCGAATTAAATCGCTCAAGTGAATAACGGAATTAAACAAATCAGATGTGTGAATGGGTTTTTGAATATGTATATTTCGTACACTCATTGATCTGGGCAGACTATCAGAGGGACGGAGCGAAGCGAAATGACGTGCAATGGAGTAGGCCTGTGAGCCAACTCAACTTAACTAGGCGTGAATCGTTATTTGTAGTCACAGACACGTGATGAATAGAATAAAAGTGAACACACGTACGCTCATACAAAAATAGTCAAGGTTGGTAAGTGAATAATTAACAAGATCAAAATGCGACTCAAGGAGAATGAGTAAATTGGCCTGTTCATTAGCTAGAATAGGCTATGTGGGTTTAATATAGTAACCGATACTACATACTTAGCAAACACATACTCACATGGATTACCGCCCCCCTCTTGAGCCAGCTGTGATTAATGAATATCTGACAAATTAACACTGTTATAACTATCCCATATCAGCGACTACCTTCTGTCCCTCTTGTTATTATCTCTGCTTCCCCTCCTATTCTTTCAGTCCCGTCTTCTTATGCATTACCAATTAAGTCATTTATTTATTCTCGAAAGACTTGTAGCATGGAGTCGAGTCGCGATTGGCTATGAACACCACTACAAGAAGACTGCGTGCCAGTTAACCGATAAAATCTCTCGTAAGCCAAATATCAGAAGGTAGTTGATGACTGTAGTCGAAATGTATTTGTTGGCGATCTCGTGGCATCGAAAGGATACAGAGGTCGTGCCAAAGGAGTACAAGCGTGGTTACCGAGCGTAACCAAACCCGTGCAAGGTCACAATCGAAAGATAATGGAGCAGTAATATGGCTGTCCTTAGTACAGTTAAACAAACGGGCACAGTAAAACATTCACTGGCACAGTTAGTTATAATAATGATTGTTTCCATTAAATCAATCGCGTTCTCCAGATAAAAGTAAGTCACTACACACTCTGCTTCCGGTACCTCTGTTACCACTTCATTGTTTTCAAAGTGAAACCAACCATTTTGCTTCCCGGTGATGTGGTAGCTCCTGGTATCCAGAAATCCTAATGCCCTGAAACAAGCCCATTTGCTTAAAGTAAAAGTCGTGCAAATACACAAATAACTCCTAAACTGACTAGAATTAGTCCAGTGGGTGGGTAGACTACATTTCATTAGTCACTATTAAATACCTGGAACCGTATCGAAATAGCAAGAAGAAAATGTGAAGATTTATACTAGCGCGTGACAAAGATATTGGGTATGGGATATCATTCCACTTGTGGACTGTCTAGACGATAAAAAAACGTGTAAAGGACAGGGCCTACCACCTCGGCAAACCTCATATAGGTGGGCTACCTGTCCATTCACGTAAGGCTCATACAGACAAACAGGACGAAGCTCACGCGTTCCAAATTGAAAGCATAAACTGTTTATATATGAACGCCGCGAGTCTACCAAACAAATTCGACGAACTACGTGAACTTAGCAACGCTAACAAGGCCCATCTGATAGGAATATTTAAAACCTGGATATCTTCTCAGTTCTCGGACCAAGAATTAGCATTACCTGGGATGTCTTTGTTCCGCAACAACTGAAAATCAGGAATTGGGGGCGGAGTAGCCGTATACATACGTTCTTGCTTGAAGGTGCTCCAGGTTCGTAACCTCGAGTTTAACAATCTTGAGGAATCCATATGGTGCTCTGTAAGATTGTCTAGTACTTCGAGGTGTCTAGTCGGTGTCATTTATAGGAAGCCAACTGCCGACATTGAGTACGATAGTCGTATGCTGGAAGGACTATCCCACTCTACTCGTCTCGGTTTCACACACATCCTGATTCTAGGGGGCTTTAGTCTCCCTAGAGTCAACTTCGCGGAACACACGTATACTGGAGGCGACAACTCAACTGAAGCTCGGTTCTTCAACCTCGTTGAGTGTTTGGGATTATACAAAAATGTGAAGTCGGCAACTCGTTAGAGAAACAGTCAGACACTGTCGCGCTTAGACTGTGTGTTTACAAACGAAGAATTTCTAGTTGACAACCTTTCAATCCTGGCTCCCCTGGGAAAAAGCGATCATGCCGTCATAGCCTTCAGTTTTGTCAGCAAAACTAAGCTAAGATACCCCACCAATATCTTGCGTTGGAATTTTAAACGGTTGAATGTGCTAGCGGTGGACAGATGGACAAGCATCTTTGATCACAAGGGGAAGGTTGATATCATCTACCTAGATTTCTCAAAAGCTTTTGATAAGGTTAACCATATATGTCTTATCAATAAGCTCAAACGATTGGGTATCAGGCCACCTCTAATCGATTGGCTCACTTCATACCTGAAAAATCGACATTTTAAGGTCAGTGTTAATTTCACTTTATCTCAGGCTATGGAACGTCCTAGTGGGGTCCCCCAGGGCTCAGTTTTAGGACCTCTTCTCTTGTTGATCTACGTAAATGATCTTCCTCAACAGGTAACGTCATACTTATTACTTTTTGCTGACGACGTAAAACTTTGGAGAGAGATACGCAACCAAGACGATATACAGGCAGTTCAGGAGGATCTGAATCGACTTCAAAGTTGGGCAGACGATAACGGACTTACCTTTAACACTTCAAAGTGTAAAGTAGTCCATCTGCGACATGTCGCAGATTACAGTTATAACTTGGGAAACTCCTCTCTAGTAGTATCCCAAGTCGAAAAAGATTTAGGAGTGCTGGTGCCCTACGATTTGAAGTCTTATGCTAACTGTGGCAAAAATGCCTTTCGAGCAAACCTTGCACTGGTAACATTGAAGCGCATTTTTGGCCAGTTTGACGGAAGAACTTTCCATATAATCTTCAATGGTTTTATCCGTCCCCATTTAGAGTACGGAAACATAGTATTTCCCCCTCACTCCAAAAGGATATGGACACCTTGGAGCGTATCCAACGGCGAGCCATGAAATCAGTTCGAGGACTCAAATTTAAACCTTACGAAGAGCGCCTCCATTCACTTAGCCTTTACCCATTAGAGCATAGACGTCTTCGAGGTGACCTTGTGATGGCTTACAGTATCCTTAACACTTCTGGACATCCTTCCAAACACCTACTTAAGCTTAGTTCCAACACTAACCTAAGAGGTAATACCCAAAAACTGGAGACACAACATAGCAGAACGGACTGTAGACACAACTTCTACTCCTTAAGGGTTGTCAAATGCTGGAATTCGCTGCCGGCCGAGCTAGTCCAAGCAACTTTTCAGGAGTCCCTTAAGAGGCAACTTGATCTATTCCTAAGGACTAAGGATAGTACCACACTATGATTTACCAATCTCTTTTCCTCTTTTATTGTTAACATACCTAGGTTCCTGCCTGGAGGATTTAGTGATCCCCTGCTACTAGACACGGAAGCCTGTTAAACGAAAGCTTCTTCTATTCCGTCCACAACCATTTGAACTATTTGAACTAGTTGATTTGTAGGTCATTGGGGGGCGCGTGGTTGGTCCTGTCGCCAATGGGTATTGGTTCGTTTTGTTTTGAATATCTCGTAATGAACGGTAACTAGAAACTTTAGTTAGTTCCGCAGATGAAAACACCGACGAGGCTACCCAAGCTCAACAGGAAGCGATCGAAAGAGATGTAATTTTGCCGAATAATATCAAGTTTGTGCTATAGATGAAGTCTACATGTCTAATTTCTGGAATTCTTCCACTTTCAACACTTGATGAGGACTTCACTGGCCATTTAGTTTACTTGGAAAAATTAAAGGTTAGATATCTTGTGAAATTCATAGTGAATTCATAAAGTGACCTAGAAAACAAAAGCCTATCTGTTTTTTTATTAAGGACTGTCTATTACGTTTCTTAAATATAGGAGGCGCGGCCCGATGGCTTCGATTACATTTAACCGTTTGAACTCGTTTCAGAAAGCTCTGCTTCAAGCAATATCGCGCCCATGTAGTGTCTAATAAGTATTACTTATTGGTTCGTATTTTTCGATTTGACTACAATCTTGGGTTAGAGAGAACGAAGGTTTACGCTAGTCATCTTCTAGTATAAAATATAGTAAAAACTAGCCTTTCAAAGCCATCTGCTACGGTTTAAGTGCGGTGTGGCATTAATGGTAATAGGTTCATTATTGAATAAACTTCATTGATGGGTATATTATGGGTGTTATTCGGCTTATCAAAGCAGCGCACTACAGTTCCACATTAGTTGTGATTGTTAAGTACTTTAAAAACCACGTTATCTTTAAGGCAACTAAAGATGGAACTCACATAAATCAGGTTTTAATATAAGTAATATTCCCACTTAACAGTCTTCAAGTCTGTTTCAACGAAATATATTATTTGTTTTTCGTTTAATTTAAGGTAATTGGTAATGACAATAAATAAATTAGTAGGCTAATCAACATAATCTTCTTACTGCGTATTTTTGTAACCCAGTGGTCTACTCCTCTTACCCATTTTTTACCTTTATCAGCAAACTTGTGCTATATTTTTGTGGACAATAAAACTAAAGCCATTTTAGCGTGTTTGCTCGGATCAGTATCTTCATTACACCATTCACAGGTCCAGTTGTGTTGCTAGTTTCACGTTGGCACTCTTTCATACTTAAGTATAACATTAAAAACATACTTTGTGTTCACCGTATGTCATAAAATATTTGTAAGTCATTTTTAACCTAAAATAGCCATGATTTAAAGGTGTCATACTATTCGGATAGAATAGCAAAGTATTCTAATAGTCAGATATTAATAGTATAGGAAAAATGTAAATGTATACTTTTCTAGTTAAAAATCAACTTAGTTTATTTTTTTGTTTTGGACGGTTTGTTGACAAAAATGCGATGGTGTAATTTTAAGACTGCTGAAAACCAAATCAGTTCTGCCTCCGTAAATACTCACTTAAATCTACGGTATCGACAAGCTGAGTATCCTGATTTTGCCCTATAAATCTATGTTTTCTATGCAAATTTAATCTAGTTGCTTCACAAGCATAATGTAATAGGCGACACCTATTTTATTTATTTAATTCCCGACCGTTATTGCTACCTTGACGTGGTGGTCGGGCTTGCCTATCGTGATGAAGCAACCGAGCTATACTGGCTGGAACAACCGTTCCTCAAGGTCCTACCATGTCAGACAGGTCGGTTGAAGAGAGGTAAGACTAAAAGCAACAAACCCAAGGTTTGGAGGCGGAGTCGTATCGCTGACTGTACAGAGGTGTGACAGCAGTAAGGTGTTTCCTTCAGACAACCATCATGACAGCAATGCTGCCTTCCCACAAGGAGGAGTGGGGTTAGAAAAGGTCGACCCTAAAAATGCACGCCTCGCCTTATCCCACGGATATCCGTCTCCGGTGGTAAGGTCTCAACAAGTACGGAGCTAACACAAAAATTACCCATGAAAAGGTCATGTGTGACCGACCTCAAACAGTTGTCCCTTGGGCACTGCGGTCACGCTTCCAGGTCACTAAGACCACCTCTAATCCAATTTCCTTTTCAGGTACCTTCAGAACAACCCTTCCACGGTGTGGGCAACCGGGAAGTGATAACCGCCCTCATACCTCTAACAGCACTCAAGACCACTGTATTCATAATCAACCTTCGTCTTCACTTCCTATTATTCCACCTACGTCGACTTTCACCTCTAAACTTCCTTTTTCGGCTTCCCCCTCAAGTGTCACCATAGCCAACGGTTCTAGTGCTCAAAACACTGTCCCAGGTCTACTGAAACCTCGCTCCATACTACACATTGGAGCCTTCAGTGTACGCACCCTAAGTCAAATCGGTCAACAGGCTTCCTTGGCTAGAACCCTAGAATCTCGTACCATTGATGTATGCTGTGTCTCTGAAACACGCATACAGGATCCCAGTGTGGTCATTCACTTGACCTCACCTCGGCAAAACGGAGAGCCAACGAGATACACCCTCCATGTATCTGGTGACCCGACGGCCAGTTCTCGTGGACTGGCAGGAGTAGGGATAGCACTAAGCATGAGGGCGGAACAAGCACTGTTAGAGTGGATCCCCGTTGACAGTCGTTTATGTGCTGTTCGGCTAAATGGCTCCGTAAGAACTCGGAAGGATAGGGACACACGTCATTGCCTTTTTGTCGTTTCTGCCTACGCTCCCACCGACTGCAGCTCGGATTGAAGTGAAAGATGAATTTTACAGAGAGCTATCTGAACTTCTTCAGAAAGCTAAACGTTCAGACATAGTACTCGTAGCAGGTGACTTTAATGCCCAGATAGTAGTTTAAATCAAACAGAAAGGCATTTATGTGGGTATTTTAGCATTCCGGCACAACGAACAGATAATGGTGATCGTCTGCTACAACTATGCTCAGACAATCGTTTATGTTTAGCAAACACAAATTTTAAGCATAAGGAGAGACATCGTCTAACACGGTGACCCCCTACACCAAACCAACGATGGACTCAAATAGACCATATTGCCATTAGTCATCGTTGGAGAGGGTCGGTAGAAGATTGTCGCTCATTCTGGAGTACCTGCTTGGACTCCGACCACGCCCTAATATGGGCACGCATCTGCTTGCGCCTCACTGGACGCAAGAAAGCCACAGTAAAAAGACCCATTAGAATTGAATTGAGTAGCGAGAAAACCAAAAGTAGGTTCCAGGAACAACTGAGGTCACAATTAAGTAGTTCTGAAAACGAGGTTGACCCAGATGTTGCTTGGGAAGATATGCAAACAGCTGTGGAAACAGCAGTGACATCTATCAATGATTTAAACCACAGGGTTACAAAGAACCAATGGATTTCCTCAAGGTCTATTGCACTGATGGATTCTCATAAACTCATTCCATCAGGCTCTGAACACGATGAAGAGCGATAAAAAATCAGATCTAGATTAACCAAAAGTCTAAGGAACGACCGTGAGCAGTGGTGGGCAACGAAAGCAAAAGAGATGGAAAAGGCGGTGGTTGTAGGGAACACAAGACAGCTCTACAGACTAATAAAAGAAACTGGAATTAATAAGTCAAGTGTAAGTCAGACTATTTCGGAAAAAGACGACACCCTCATCTGATCTCAGTCCAGATGTTTAGAACGATGGGCGGAACAGTTCAGCTGGCCTTCAGCGACTCTACAACTACCATCCATTCCCAGACAGTGAATGGAACATTGAAGTAGGTCCCCCAACTCTAGCAGAAGTTCAAAAGGCTATAGTTAATCTGAAACGAGGAAGGGCAGCTGGTCCAGATGGATTGGCTCCAGAGGTCTTTAAGGATGGTGGTCCAACTTTAGCGATTAGGTTGACTAATATTTTATCTAAGATCTGGGAGTTGGACGTTATCCCATCTGACTGGTCACAATCACTTATCGTCCCAATATATAAGAGAGGGTTAAAATCATCCTGTGACAACCATAGAGGGATTAGTTTAACTAATATAGTATCTAAAATACTAGCCTCGATAATTATCAGACGCCTACCTAAGACTCGTGAACTGCAAACACGAGAGACTCAAGCTGGCTTCAGACCTGGTCGTGGCTGCATCGACCACATATTCACCATCTGTCAGGCTCTAGAACATAAGCATACTTATCGACGTCCGACAATGATGGTCTTTCTTGACTTAAAAGCAGGATTTGACTCGGTAGACCGCGAGATTCTGTGGCAGTGTCTGTCACTGAAAGGCGTACCTCAGAAGTACATAAACCTTGTGAAGGCTCTTTACGTGGACATTACCACTCTAGTCAGAGCTTATGGCGAAATGTCATCTGCTTTTGCAACCTCAAGTGGTGTCCGTCAAGGCTGTTCACTTTCTCCATTTTTTTAACTTCATCATAGACCTATTGATGGAAATAACATTCTCGTCTACTGAATTCTCGGGTATTGATCTCCTTCCAGGAGGTCCACTTATCGACTTAGAATACGCAGATGATATAATCCTGTTTGGTGAAGACGCTGATAAAATGCCGAGTCTTTTGGTAGCACTAAGCAATAATGCCAGAATGTTTGGAATGCAACTTCTCTCCCTCTAAATGCAAGCTGCTGCTTCAGGACTGGTTTGCGTCAACACCTGAACTAAGAATAGGGAGTGAAGTAGCCGAACGCGTTGACAACTTCACTTATCTTGGAAGTCTGATCAGCCCTAATGGGTTGGTGTCTGACGAAATCTCAGCACGGATTCGAAAAGCTCCTTTGGCTTTTGCCAACTTACGTCACCTATGGCGAAGGCGAGATATCCGTCTATCAATAAAAGGACGAGTATACTGCGCGGCAGTCCGTTCTGTTTTAATTTACGGCAGCGAAACATGGCCATTAAGAGCAGAAGACACTCGTAAGCTACTAGTATTTGACCACAGATGCCTTAGAAATATTGCTGGCGTTTGCTGCGATCGCCGGGTAAGTAATAGTGAGGTTAGACGCAGGGTATTAGGTAATGATGGTAAATCAGTTGATGAGGTTGTGAATCTTCATCGACTGAGATGGTTGGGCCACGTGTTACGTGTGCCCGAACACCGATTACCACGACGTGCAATGCTAACGGGTGTTAGAGATGGTTGGAAGAAAATTAGGGGCGGCCAAACCAAAACGTGGTATCAGTGCTTGAAGTCACTAACTTCTAGTCTGAGCCATGTCGGTAGATGCAGACTACTTGGTTGGGGTCCACGTGACTATCGTAACCAATGGTTGGAGACACTTGGTGACATGGCTCAGAGTCGATCACAATGGCGTCGGTGTATACACTTCCTGTCTTTCCTTAAACTAAGAGAATAAAATCGCTTCATATCTTTCTTTCTACGAACTAATTCTTTCTTCCTGTACTATATCCTTATATGCAATCTTTCTTTTATATATTACCACCTCTGAATTAACTACTTTTATGAATCCGGTGTCCATCTTGTTGTGTTAATAAGGTATGGCAACTTGGACCGATGCACATATGTGCCTGGTCCTACGTTGTAGCTGACTGACTATTTATTTAATTGGACACATAAATATTGGTACAAAAGGGCACCAAATATATATGCGCCACACACAAATTTGAGGGGGAAAAAGGTAGGAAGCGTAAAAAAAGAACAATAACGAACATATTGGTGTAAGGTAGTGTAATAATAATAATGGGGGAAACGGATAGGTACAATCAGAAGAAATCTTTCAGTTAAGGAAGAAACAACCATTTTTAATGAAGAAAGTAAAAGAATGTTAAAGCAGGATCACCACTGACTTCTATTCTGAGCCATATCTGATAACGTCTCTAGCCACTGTGTTAAACCATCTCTCGGACCCCAGCACGGGAGTCGTGAAGGACCAACAGAAGCCAGCCCTTTGCAGCTTTCTTTCATACCACGACACCATGTCATACACTGACCACCTCTCCGCTTCTTCCAACCAGTCCCAGAGTCGGAAAATAATGCACGACGTGGAATTCGCTGGGACGACATTCGTAGGACATGTTCAAGCCACCGAAGTCGATGTTTCAAGATGGTGACACCAATTGGATTATCATCTCTGTGCCCAAACACATGACGCCGAACCTCTGCATTATTAGCATGGTGTTGCCACTGGATGTCAGCAGTCTTTCGGAGACAGCGATGATCGAACACAGAGTCATCTAACATCCCCGACTCGGAGAGGTCAGGTTTCACAAGCATAGAGCAAAACTGCTCTCACCGACGCGTTGTAGATCCGACCTTTTACAGCCAGACTAACATCACGAAGGCGCCAAAGATGGCCCAGATTGGCATAAGCCGCTCTGGCTTTTATAATACGTGGATCGATCTCATCACTCACGCCACCACCAGCACTTATGCAGCTACCCAGATACACGAACTTCTCGACTACTTTTATCTGCTCACTATCCAGGGTGAGTACAGGATTAGAATCCTGCCAGTCTTGTAGAAGTACTTTGCACTTAGAAGGTACGAAGCACATACTATACCTACGGACACTGATTGCCAACTAATTAATTGTGGATTGAATGGCTTGGGTATTATCGCACAGTAAGACAATATCGTCCGCATATTCAAGATCGAGAAGTCTTTCTTCAGGTAACAGATCCACACCGCCATTACTTACATCCATCAGAGCTGTTTCCAGAATGTCATCGATGGCAAAAGTTGAAGAGGAATGGTGAGATTGGGCAACCCTGCCTAACCCCACTGCTCGAATGGAACAATGGAGAGAGGTGGTTGTATGCTCTCACTCTGCCTGAGGTGTTTGTATATAGGACATTTAGGATGTTAATAAACTTCTCATGCACACTTTTCTTCAATAGACAATCCCAGAGAACAGTCCTATCCAACGAATCGAAGGCAGCCCTAATGTCAAGAAACACTACGATTGTTGGCCTGTGATAAATATGGCGGTGTTCTGAAATTTGGTGGAGGGTGAAGATATGATCAATACATCCTCAACCAGAACGAAAACCATCCTGCTTCTCGCGAGTCAATGTTTCTCGGGTTTTGAACAACCTACGAAGTATGACGGAAGCCAATAGCTTGGATGCAATCGGAAGTAGACTCATCCCCTGATAGTTGTTACAGGAACGACGTGAACCCTTTTTAAAGATAGGAAATACTATCGACTCGTTCCATGACGTTGGTACACTCTCTAGCTCCCAGACCTTTGTAAACAACGTCGTCAGTTCCTTAACCAGAAAGTCACTACCATCTTTATAAATGGCCGGAGGTAAGTCATCTGGGCCCGATGGTTTGTGGCGCTTCAAGAGTTGGAGTCCCTTGCGGACCTCCGTCTTATTTGGTGGATCAGTCGTCACCGGCCATTGAGGGCAGGACAGTCTGACCGATGTTGCTGGAGCAGCAGGCCAGTTGAACTACCCTTCGAAGAATTCTGCCCATCGTCCAAGACGTCGATGGATGTTAGTGATTGGCGGAGATGACAAAAAGACATCGTTTCTCACGCCGATTTCTTCTCACTTTGATGGAACTTTCTAATCTAACAGCACATAACCGACTGTTAATGGGGATCCAATCGATTAGTGTTGCTTCAGCTCTAGCACTCAGTGCGACACCAACGCCAGAAAGATCAGACGAAGATGCCACAGGGTCCCTGGATAAGCGCACGTAAAACAAACTTTTTGAAGCGACAGATGGAGAGCGAATTTGCAGTACTTCACCAGAGTCTTGAATACGGGTCTCGGATAGACAGCAGACATCGATATTAAGACTTTCCAAAGACACCTAAATAGAGACCAACTAAGCAAGCTGAAATCTATTAGGTGAGTTTGAATTTTTACCACTAAGATTGACAAGTAAATGATTGTTTACCCAGCTAGCAACAGTATCTCCGTTCTTTTGTTCGGTGAAGTTAGTGAAGAATGTGTATACAAATAGGGCGTAGTTGTGTGTTCAGTAGGCTTTGTTTATTGGTATGTAACAGAGTTTTCTCCTTAATTTCCAACAGCTTATGAAACAAAATTACCGAGGGATTCGTCGGCTCCGACGTGATGGAAACTGCTTTTATCGAGCATTTGGTTTTGCGTATATTGAGTACCTGCTAAATGGCAAGCTAATTAAAGAAGCTGGGAGGTTTGTTGATTTTTGTACTTTCGTATGCTTCGTGTTGTGTCACTTAATTTCCTAACCATAATTAAGTTACAACTCAGTATGATCAGATTTTTCGTCAATCTACGCTACTGTACGTAATTTATTTGTTTCAATTTCAGAATGATAAATGACTTGCGAAGTGAATTTCACTCTTCATTCACAAACCACTATTTGTAAACACCGTTTAACACAATTCTTTCTTAAATAGACTAAGCGTAAATCAATAAACTCAAATGATCCTCAATGATAGGTTTTGCACTGGTCCACTGCCGGTCTGGATTCGCACGCAATAGAAGTTTAATATTGGAATTTGTCTTTTGAAATGGTTCCCAAAATAAGTCGAATTACCTTAGTGGTAAGGCATCCAACCCACTTCAAAGAAACCCGAAATACTGGTCAACGGGATTGCCGTAGTTACTTTATAATAAAATCTATATATAAAGGTGGTTGTATGATATTTTTAAAGATAATCGTTATATCACTCTTTAATTAGTTGCACCTAAATATTACCATACTTTTAAATTGTTTACAATATGGAAACGACATAAGTGCATTTAATTTGATGATGCATCGTGTTTTAACTTCTTACTATATATTTTGTGATAAATAATTATATTAGGATATTGTTAATTAGTTTTTGTGAAGGGTTCCTGCGAAACTAAGTTATATATGAGTTTTTCCGGGTATAATGATATCCATTGTCCCGTAATATCTTAAGAGTGCTATAGAAAATTGCATCAAAGGTGTTCGGTATCTATTTATGTTAGTTTATCGTTTCTCATAACTCTTTTTACTTTTAACAAAATCTAGTGTAATTTATATTTATGTTCATCACTGAATCTACGGAGGGTTCTCGACCTTGATATGTCGGAAATATTTTGTGTATGTCACCATAGTTTATTCTATTTTGAACTTTGTTTACTGATACAGTCTAAAGGTTTGTGATATGATACCACTGAGTAAAGGTTAATTTTGTCGGGTTGCCCCTGTAAACTCATCATGAGTTCCTAACCGAGATTCTAGAAAAGTGTGAAATTTGATATCCAGATGTTAACGAATTTGGCTTCGTATCAAAGTTGCAAACATTTATGCTGAAACGTCATTTTCTTACCCACGTATAAATGATACATATTATGTGTATTAGTTTCCCTAAATCTTCATGGTTTTGCTACTTTATCGTTTTTTTTTAAGTGTAGCGTCTCTGTTTTACCAAAACGCTATTAAACGAAATAGTTTTTCTGGTAAAATATTCCAATTCCTGTAACTTTTCCAAGTTTGAATCGCCTCTTGCCATTTCTGTTCTAGGCAGTCGGGTATCATCTTCAATTGTCATATAACAAGTTTGACTCAAGTCAATGAACGAAAGTGTGTGTGGTCACCGTAACTAATCTAATTAAAATTATTTCCAATTCATTTTATTTATTATTAGATATTAAGAGGAATCATTAGAAAACTTACGGGTTTTCGGAGTAATGTACATATATTTATATGAAAACATTTCCTTGTGAGAATTCGAAATTATAGTCAAAAGCATTATTGCTGATCCGAATTGATTGTAATTGGTCCTATATGGAACCGAATATGTAGATGATTTTTCCTCCCAGTCCTAACAAAACCTATGGTACTATTTACACAAATCAATTTTGATGTATTCGATTAGGAACGTGTGAAATTGCGGTGGCGAACGGTATAGATTCTGTCTAGGAGAGTACATGCTTCATTGAGATTCCATATATATCTGTCTGATGAGTCTCGACAGACATGAGAACTAGGTTTAGGACTTCTTGCCCACAACTTCTAATCATCTCACTCTAAATTGGATTTCATATCACACCTTGGATGAGTTGATTTTATCCTTTTTTAGATTCAAGAAGAAGTGTGATGAGTGTAAGGATACACTGATTGCTAATGGTTATACACAGTTTACTGTAGAGGATTTTCATGAACAGGTAGGTAATTATTAATTATCTTTTTTTTATTCCTCAAAAGTACTTTCATGTAAGTGTTTTAATTACGTTTTCCTATATTTGATCCTTTTGGACACAAAAGCACAGTATACACTAGCACCAAAATAAATCCATGATGATAACTTTGAATTTATCAATAAAATAAAAATGTATATCAACTCAGAACCTTGCACAGAAGTGCACATGTCTTAAGCTAGCTCACTACATAACAGTAGGAAATAATAAAACCAAGGTAATGAAAGAATTTGAAGGATATTGCTAGCAATAAATAAGACTGAAAAAACAAATACTAAATAGACTCCACTTGGTTAAGTAATTAATTTAACTCGTTTACCAATTACGGGTTTTTGTACTTGGCTTTGAGCAACACTTTTAGACTACACTGTCAAAAGTGAATACACGGTGGTTCGACGATAGTGTAGCGGTTTCTCAATAGAACAGTAACTTATTCATTGTAATAACGAACAAGTGGTCGATTAAAGTTGGAAATTTTTATATAAATACGTATAGATAAATGAAGGTTTCTACAGTAAATAATTATCAGTTTAAAGTACAAACCTACATCCGAGGTGATACAACCAGGAACATTATTAAGTACTCAATATTGACATGTGCACAAATAACCAATTAGATACTACTCGACGGATAAAAATACATTAGCCAATAAGAAAGCAATTAGTTGTTCAATCAATTAGTGAAATATAAGATAGAAACAGTGCAAAACACCAACCACCCAAGTAATATTACTATGATACGTAAATCTTATATCCAGGTCCATCTTCAACAACCGTTTTGCAGCCGAAAAATGGACGAATCAGTACTGTGTACATTCACTCTTTGATAACTAGTCTGATATATTTCAATCGATGTAGTTGGAGAGGTTAGCAAATATCGAATACACCCACAACTAAGGTATTTTTCGTGTAATTAGTTCCCTGTTAGGATTTGAATAAAGCAAAAAAAAATTAAGACAGAGTAATGTGAATTCGTTATATTTCGTGACTTCTCATCAGCTGCTTACAATCATATTTATATTGAAAGATAACATCGTGGTATGGTATGATGTGAAACAATTTACATAGATACCGAAAAGAATTGGAATGACAAAGGTTATCAATAATAACTATATACAGATATGTGCAAGAACAGATTAGAGGTCATTTGGAGATGGAATTCAAAAACATAGGGGGTGGGTGGATGGTTCATCAACTAAATGAGGTCCGGAGACAAATGAGATAGATTGTGTGATAACTTTAGAATTTGTGAAGGGTTCACATAAGATTACTAGATTTTGAAATTGATAAGATGGGTTACGTGATAATTGAACAGGATTTGAAGAGTTTATTTAAGTTAAAAGAATCAAGTAAATGAAAATGTATGTGTGAAGGGATGGTTTTAGTGTACATAAAGTAAGAATTAGTTAAGAGAAGACCTCATAACAAAATGAACACTAATAAAATAATGATAATAACAAACTTAACCAAGGTAGTGATAAGTTTATTGCTAGTGCTTTCAGAAACCCGAGAGACACTGTATTTTCTTGTCTGCTAATAATTTCGAAGGTTAGGTGAATGTCAATAGTATGCCTTGTGAATTCAATGCCGATCTGTTGCACTATTTAGAGCCGTTGCGTCTTTCAGTTTCAAATTCTTTGGAATGTGCTTGGAAATGCGAACATGTACTCTTCTTTCTGTTCTTCCAATATGTGTTTAGGCACGTGCATGTAAATTGGTAAATGTTCACTCAAACAAACAAAAATTGACAGGCGCTCTTTTCTTAATGCCTCCAACTACATTTACCTTTTTTTCTCATAAACAAGTGTTTTAAAGTGTTCTATTTATTCTGTATATAATGTAATTCATTTTCCAAGTATGAATATGAACTTTTGGCTACATTTTAATTATGCGAGCTAATTGAAACTACCTGGTTATACCAGACTAAAGTAACTAGTAATTCAAGACTCGAACTTGTTTACCTTACTAGATGGAAGGTGAGTGCCTCAATTGCTAAGTCACCATTGCACCAGTGTTTTATTGGTTAAAGTAGTTCTTATTTTTAAATTTATAGATGAATATATTTAGTAGTTATTCCATACAGAATAAATACATTGTATCAATTTCTATTAAGTGGATAAATTATATATTTATTAAATATTAAGCATAAATCTCTTTGTTTACTTTCTTTTATGTTTTTATTGTCTTTGTATACTTCTCTTTATGATAAATATTAGTTCGTTGGAATGGTGGATCGGTTTACTGTTGATGGTGGCACATTGGAAGAATTAGAAGAAGTTTTTAACGATCAGGCATATTCAGATTATTATGTCGTGTTTTTACGGTTAGCTATTCTGTACTTTTTCCTATAGAATTGTTTCTTCTTAGATGGCAGGAAATACATTTGTGGCTTAATATTGTTGCGTTGTTTAACCTAGATGTTTTAATTGCAAAGTTATTTTTTTATTTTAAAAAAGATCATCATGAATTTTAGCAAGGTAATATTAAAGTGTGAATGTTTTGTATTTTCTCCACAACTTTCACATCGTTATGTTTAAATCGCTGGACATTTGATTTTCCTCATGTACTAACTTGCTCATTTGGTCTGGAATCATGTAAGGCTGAGTGGTGATTTTTAATTATTGATGAAATACTTCAAGGTCAACTACTGCACATAATTTATTTAAACAAATTCATATGAAATTGAAATACTCGATGAAAATACGTTGACTTTCTATCGATTATCAGATTTTTTTATGGATAAGATCAATGATATGCATTTAGACAAAGATAAATTAGTGAAAAATTTTCATCTCTCTGTTTTATTCGTTTCAGTAGTACTACGAATTTATAAGTATACTTTGTTTCAAGTACTCAGCGAAAAATAATACTTCTCAGTACGTACATACATTATTTACTGTTAATAGTCATTATGCTACTTGTATAGTAGAGCAAAGCATATTAATTCATTTCGTATTCGATTTTAACTTAGCATTTATTTATATTATTAATATTACTTGTGGAATAAATAAGCTTTCTGATATTGGTAAGAAATGTGCAACCCCTCATCCACTATCACCCGTTACTGAGTCGCATTCATGACATTCGAATTTCGCAATGAACATGATAACACTATATCAAAATTTAATAATTTATATCTAACTTTATTCTATTTTCATCTTATTTATTACTAATTTGATTTGATTTTGGATTGTTATGCTTTTAGACTCTTAGTTTCTGCGTACATTCAAAAAAAAGCTGGGTATTTTGTAAATTTTATTGATGAAGGTAAAACAATCAATCAGTTTTGTGAAACAGTAAGTTAATAAATCATAGATATTTTTAAATCTGTTGTCGTTATTGTTATTGTTGTTGTTCTTCTTCTTATGGATTACAAGTGATTAATTTCAAAAAAGGATATAATAATATCGATAGCATTTAGCCTCGAGATTGTAATTAATTATAGTGAACAAATAATTTTTAAAATAATATAATCAGAAGTGGAATTATTAAGATGAATAACTCGTAGAAAAACAATAAATCAATTGAGAGAACACATTAGGTTTATGGATACTGTTTAAAAGTTCATCAGAGAGGAGTGAGTAACCTACAAATTTGATATGAAAATGATAAGAAAGTATTTTATCTTCCTATATCAGTTGATTTAGAGGCTTACATGTCAGTAATTCGTTCTTGAGAGCAGCCACCCAGTCAGCCACAAAGTATCATTGGATATTATCAATCGAACAGCGTTGTATAGATTAGTCGAACAATGCATAAGCGTCATTCCTCACTACAAATCATAACTTATGATTTTTTTTAAACATAATATGGACATTATGGACGGATAATTGTAATATATCTACTCCACTAAAAATAACAAACATTTGTACGTATTTTTACTTAATCATATCCTAATTGTTCATTGGGGAATTCAAACCCATTCCTAGTAGTCTCTAATATAATCAATTTAACACATCGATGTAGTCACTAATATGTCAAAAGTTGTATACACCTTGTATCAATTATTTTAAATTTGATCCTCCTTACATAGTGTTCCCATCACACTTCAACAATCTGTCAAAGGGTATTTTAAACTGTATATTTCATGTTCGATGGGCAATTACAAGTCTTTTCAATACTACAGGTTCGGCATATTGACAACTGTAAATTGAATGAATGTTTAGTGTGCACTTCAATATTAATTTTTCTACTAATTTGATACGATGTGTTAATTTTAATATTCTCAGCTTGTTACTGATAATTTAATATTCGTATATGATTAACTAGCCTTAAAAAATGGATCTACCGTGTGAAGTTCCATTTAATTTATGATTTGTACAGAGGTAGCCTAGTTGTTAAGTATAACGGTATCGTAATGATGAAAACATTCGGTCCCAATTTTAGATTCTGCCTATGCCCATTTGGGCTTGGGCAACTACTTGATATCACTAGCAATCACACTTTAAATGTGATCTAAAGGTTGGTAGGATTCATTATTATTAGTTCTACTATTATTATTTAAATTAGTTTGTCGGCTTTCTGTTGATACCTTTTCACTCTTGCGCAGATTTGTGTATATGAATTTTGCATAAGATTGTAATCAACACTAGATTCTAAGACTTTTTTGTAATACGATCTACTGTCTGACTTAGCTATTAATGCTTGATCAAATAAAAATTAATCTTCACAAAGAGTTCTATTTACTGAACAATAATACATATAACTTATGCTTATTTACAATTAGTGTACATATAGACAATAAATTTTGACTTATTTTGGTAATCCTCGTATTTTCTATAACTCATTAGCATTCAGAGTTCACTGATCATGTAACCTTGATATATCTTATAGCTTAAGAAATTGTACATATTTCATCTTATCTCTGAAATGATTGTAAATGAATTCAGAAAATAACTGATATTTGTCATGAAATCGCGACCAATTGAATGGTTTAGTGAATATTCTTTTCAATGGATTTCTCATCGGGTTCTACAATTCATAAATCTAAATTAATAATCCATAAAATTGGTCAGATTGAAGGCAGAGTACATCATTTGGAAATTGTAATATGTGAATTAAGAATTGTTGCTTGTTATATGAAATCAACTCAGCTCGTTAATGTTGAGGCTGACTAATATAAAGTGTTAACTTGAATCAGTTTATAAGTGAAATGAAATTGTGAGATAAAGGATCAGAATAAATATGGTCGAAATGGGGTGAGAGAGAAAATAATGTAATTACAAATCAGAAATTACGTAATATGTAGAATAATATGAATTAGGTCAGATATAGTAGATTTAAGGGTGGATGCTGAATAATTTTCTCAGAAATTTTATCAAGTGTAATGATAATAATGACAATGGTAAGATGTGTGGATAAGTTAGGGACATAAAAATGAACATTAATCAAATTAGATCACCATATTATAAAATTGATTATTAACTAGTTGGCCAGGGTAAAAGAAGCGGCTGAACATATTTCTTTTGGATGCAAAGCTCTGACTTTTTGATCCGAATAGCAATTTCTTCAGCCGTCTGTAGGATTCGCAGTCTGACGGAATTAGGTAGATTGCTGTTAAGATGATATATTATTGTGAAAGATTGCTCCATGTTGGCTGTATGTCCCATTTGAATTAAAGGGGCTAAAATGGAGTTAACCGGTTTAACTGCACCTTTGCTTAACCACACTAGGAGGTACTCACGAGCCCGAATATACAAATTCCTGGAACATCTGCCAATATAATTTGCTTCACAGGAGCAGTTGAATTGATAAATACAGAAAGAAGTGACTAGTCTAGGCAATTTATCTTTCAACCTCTGAGTGATCAAATTACTCCTGAATTCTACCAGCATTTACTATAATAAATATAATCAAGATTTTTCCACAATATATTTTAAATTGTGAATTGAAAAGAAACCTCCAATTTTCAAATTACTATATCCAACTTTTAAAATAAAATATTTTTAATATAAAAAACAACAACAACAGGAGGTTGAACCAATGGCTCGTGAATCAGATAATATACATGTGGCTGCTTTAGCATTAGCTGTTGAATTGCCTATTTATGTAGAAAATTGTCAACAGTCGGGTGAATTGAATCGTATCGAGTTTCCTGCATATAGTGATTTAATATTGGATAATGCCGGTGAAACAAGCAGTGATAACCATGATATTCACAGTGAACAAGTATCCAATGAAAATGATTCTTTTATTAATAATTATAAACAGAATAGTAGTTCACCACCAGTTACATTATTGTATAGACCAGGTCATTATGATATATTATATCCTAATTCATGAAAATATCAAAGCAACTGATAAGATCGGAACTGTTAAATTGAATAATACTCTCTGTATCATTGATAATCAACATTACAGTAGGTTTATATGTTTTGGATGCTACTTTATAATTTAGATTAACTTTCAATGATGATTTTTTTGTTGTTGTGTTTGTCTGTATGTGTTTATGTATTTCTGTAGATTCTTTTCTTTTTTGTAATATGATGCCTTTCACTAAAACAATAATTCAATCGATAGTAAAATATCTTTTTTGAATTGTTTCTTTTGAAGAAATTGCGTAGACTATTTTATTACGTTTTTTGCTTGTTACTCTATAACGACTACTGGACTTCACTTGGTTTGACGTAAATTAGAACAAAGATGTGTCGATGATAAGATATATTTCAAAGAACCGGAACAACTATGTACGGTAATGAAAACGCAAGAACTTACATATAATTTGCATGAGGAACTTCTGGTGTATTCTTGAGTCATGTACCAGAGCTGAACAGTTAATGATGAATCAGTAAGGATATTTGCATTCGATGACTCAATGGCTATGCAATCATAAGGCTCCTAGCCTCCCAACACCTCCCTTTTGAGGGAATCTGTAGGATCTATGGTCGGTGTTCACTCCTATCAACTCGACTAAGCCGCTTTCGATCTCTTCATCTTTCCCATAGTAAAAAATGGCTCCTTTTTTGTATGAACCAGAACTGAAGGTATTTATGAGAATAGAGAGTCGTATTATATGGTGGTTTTTATCGCTGGAGATAGGTGTTAGTTTTTTAGTAACCTTATAGCTGACTCCAGTGAAATCAGACTAATAATCGTTATCGAATGATTGCTGTCGAAATATACATCATGGCTACCCTCGTATATAATCATCAACTTGAATCGCGTCATTGAATAATGGAATTAAATAAATCAAATACGGGAATGGATTTTCGAATACGTATATTTCGTACAATCGTTGATTGTAAAGTATAGCAAAACACGACACGCAGCGGTGAAAGCATGTGAGCGAACCGAATTTACCCAAGCGTGAATCGATAGTTATAGTCATACAAAAATAAGTTACAGGCACATAGTGAGTAGGGTAAGTAATTAACACACATACGATCATATAAAGAAGTCAGTATTAATGAGCGAATAAGTGGCAGGGTAAAAATGTGGCTTGAGAAGAACCAACGGATTGGTCTCTGCAGAAGCTAAAATAACTTATGTAGAATTGTCATAGTACCAGCCCCTACAATTCCAATCGATTTGCTCATTACACTAAGCTATCAAATCAACTAACATTTCATACATCAATATTGATTTTCACCAGATTCAACTGTCTGTCAGCTTATTGTTTTCCACAATAGTTCATAACGAGTACTGTCTGACCAAAATTAAACGGTCGTTTCTGTGCTCCATGGTTTTGGTCGGTTTTCTCCATGTCTGTTTCGATGAAACTAGACTCGGTACGTGACAAATGAATGCTGTAGATATATGCAGTTTTCATCCAACAAAACACCATCTACTGCATTACACTATGTATTACAATAGGTGTACGTAGAACTTTGGGATATTTTCTCCATTTATTCCCATATCTGTGCGGAGCGCATTTGAATGTACCTACAAACCCTTCCACATGTTCATTCGATTAAGGATGGCAGGATGATAGTTGGAATAGATTAACTCCATCCTGTCGACAAAGAAGATTAAGACTAACAGTTATCACCAACTATTGTCTCCAGATACCAAAAATAGATGACTATGGAAATTCCTTACGGAGCAATAGATAAATTCCTTACTATAGAATAACATATACTGTCGGAACGGATCTAGAGAAAATATCTTCCATGAAACATAAACACAGACATCAGCAAATAATATTACCGAAAAACGACAAAATACCGCACACGATTTTGTTCCCAAGCTAGTGTACGTGCATTCATATAAATATCATGCGTTTACGTGCTGACGGGAATGTAGTGAGAATACTGTATTCTTAACATTATACAAGTGGAACAACTACTCTATATAATAAGCAAAATTTTAACTACAATCCCTCTGAAGACATTGTAGTATATCGAGTAAGGCAGATCGGACTATGAGTTAATAAATGAGAGCAGCAGGTATATAAATATTAAATTCCGTGGACACAGGATATCTGGAAACGTAAATTCATACGTGCAGTTCGAAGTAGACGTAAAGATAAAGTGCGAACATGAATTTCGATGTGAGAACGTGCCAGAATGTAAAAACGATAGTGGTCCGAAAATATTTGTACATGCTAATAAAATTAAGAACAGACGGGAAATTTGTTGTACAACACAACAACAAACACCATCGATTCACAACTACTAACATGCACATACACAATATGTCCACATACTACTACAGTCTATATCAACATCACCAACACATACGCAACAACATTCATCACACATGCATCGAAAACACACTATTCCAGCATACTCATCACCACTTCAAGTAACAACTTGCCCAACAACCATATTGTCATCATCAACATCATCACAAAGAACAATAAGAACAACAACAGCAGCAGCAACATCGTCGTCATCCACACACACAAATGTGTTTCCGTCACCTTATCATACACAACACCTCACACTATCTGGACAGAGAACTCACAGTTACTGATCTACCGACTGATAAATTGTCGGGAAAATGTGGGTGTTGGGAACAACATCATTCCTCTACATATTCCTCTCCACCTACTGCCACAGACTACAAGGCCGCACATGTTTGTTCGTTCGATTGTGTGATTGTGTGAGTGGGTGTGTGTGGGCATGTGTGCGCAAGTGTATGTGGTGTGTTTATGCGAATGTCAATAGGAATCCACACATTCAATCACAATAGACTCCCATCAAATTCATTGTGTATATGCAACAATCCACCTGGTTCATTAGACATCATGGTTTCCAGACTGCCACCAGCTGAATGTGCTGACCACTAAGACAGACTACGACAGAGAGAACTAAGTGGAAGGAGAGTGAATGACTGAATGTGAGTGAAGGTGTGATGGAGGGGAATGTGGAATGCTACACGGAGCCCAAGTGAAAACACGAGATTGGATTGTGAGGAGGAACGGTTAGTGGTGGCACGTGATTACAGTGATGTAAATGATGTTTCGTAGTGGTAGAACGTGTGGGCGAAAGCTGAAAGCCAGTCGCCTGCCGGAACCCGGGATCGAACCGGGGACATTTAGATCTTCAGTCTAACGCTCTCCCAACTGAGCTATTCCGGCGACGTAGGTCCGCACAATCACATCTATTCACACTCAATAGCATATCTTCATCCAGCATACGCACACACTACACGCCAAATCCAATATCAACATCAAAATTCTAACTAACAGACAAACACCAACAACAAGCACACCAGTTCATAGAACAATCGTCAACAATACACGTCCTACAACACCAACACGGCATCCAACCACACTGATCAAACAACAAATATATATTTCTCAACACATACTTCCAGCAGTCAGTTCACCTGATCCATTCACACATTGGAATGAGAAGACGAAGTATGTCACCATCTCATCCCACCCCACTTGCACAAAACAATCAACATTGTCTGCTTTCGCACAACTCTTCAAGCAATATTGAGACAGAGTTCACATATCAGTAGTCGGGCAGATATGCACGTCACGGTGATCATCATAACAACAATAATGATCGTGTGAATAATAAATAATATTGTTGGTATCATTCAGTACTGTATGATTAGATAAAGTTGACGAGTGCTCAGCAACTGTGTTCAACACAAGGTTGGAGTGTGTTTGACTGAATGGATGCATGAATGAATGTACGTATGACTGATATGACCACACTCATCCGATCTGTGTGAATTGTAGGGATCGGACGTTCCGAATGGTTGATGGCGAGACTCCGGATTGATTGATGAGTCAGATTTGTCCATATGTTTTGCAACGGCTCACTGTGTCTTACCTCACCTTCTCTACATTCACAAATCGAGGAATGAGTCGAGGAGAATTGAATTGTTCGAAGTTTCAGTGTAAATTCCCATGACAGGTTGTTTGTTTGTTTGTTTGTTTGTTGAGACGTGCTGAGGCGAGCATGTGTGTGTGTGTGTGTGTGTGTGTGAATCGTAGTGTGAATAGAGTATTCTCGAAATACTGCAAGAGGAACGACCGATAGATATGTCATCCGACATTCTGTGCTTGTCTGTGTCTATGTGAGCACGTGACCGATGCTAGTAGTGTGAGTGGTCGGGAAATGCTTGTTGGTGTTAATGCAGATAGAGACGAGTGTTGTTAGATGTGGAAACTCTCCCGCGCCGGGAATCGAACCCGGGCCGCCTGGGTGAGAGCCAGGAATCCTAACCACTAGACCACGCGGGACAACTTGTTCTACAACACAACTACAAACACCATCGATTCACAACTACTAACATGCACATACACAATATGTCCACATACTACTACAGTCTATATCAACATCACCAACACATACGCAACAACATTCATCACACATGCATCGAAAACACACTATTCCAGCATACTCATCACCACTTCAAGTAACAACTTGCCCAACAACCATATTGTCATCATCAACATCATCACAAAGAACAATAAGAACAACAACAGCAGCAGCAACATCGTCGTCATCCACACACACAAATGTGTTTCCGTCACCTTATCATACACAACACCTCACACTATCTGGACAGAGAACTCACAGTTACTGATCTACCGACTGATAAATTGTCGGGAAAATGTGGGTGTTGGGAACAACATCATTCCTCTACATATTCCTCTCCACCTACTGCCACAGACTACAAGGCCGCACATGTTTGTTCGTTCGATTGTGTGATTGTGTGAGTGGGTGTGTGTGGGCATGTGTGCGCAAGTGTATGTGGTGTGTTTATGCGAATGTCAATAGGAATCCACACATTCAATCACAATAGACTCCCATCAAATTCATTGTGTATATGCAACAATCCACCTGGTTCATTAGACATCATGGTTTCCAGACTGCCACCAGCTGAATGTGCTGACCACTAAGACAGACTACGACAGAGAGAACTAAGTGGAAGGAGAGTGAATGACTGAATGTGAGTGAAGGTGTGATGGAGGGGAATGTGGAATGCTACACGGAGCCCAAGTGAAAACACGAGATTGGATTGTGAGGAGGAACGGTTAGTGGTGGCACGTGATTACAGTGATGTAAATGATGTTTCGTAGTGGTAGAACGTGTGGGCGAAAGCTGAAAGCCAGTCGCCTGCCGGAACCCGGGATCGAACCGGGGACATTTAGATCTTCAGTCTAACG